GTTCTGGAATACTTTGGTCAGAAGCAGCTACTCAACGATAGGCAAATCCGATGGTCAGAGGTGCTATCGCAATTCAGTTTCGACCTTCAGTACCGACCAGGCAAGGAAAATATTCTGGCAGACGCGTTATCTCGCAAGAAAGAACTTACCCCTACACAAAAAGCTGCAAAAGAACTGGAACGTACGAAAATCCTCCTCCCTCAAAAGAAAGTTACGTTGCCACATGACAGCAAGGTGTTAGCGCCCATCGACGAGGATCTGGATACTATTGATCGTATTTTTATGGCCAACCGAGCAGATCCCGATCTCGAGGATCTACGCCAGCAAGCACGACAGCGGGAAGAACCTTATTCTTTGGAACCTACCGGGTTGGTGCTTCATAAGGGACGCGTGGTGGTGTCAGCCAAAGACAATCTCCGTACTCAAGTGTTGAAGATGATCCACGAATCTACATCCACCGCTCATCCAGGACGAAACAAAATGAGGAAACTAATCGGCGACCGGTACTGGTGGCCACGATACGCAGCAGACATCGAGCGTTATGTGCAGAACTGCCATGTCTGCCGACGATTGCATAAGCCTAGAGACAAGACACCGGGCTTACTACAGCCTTTAGCCATTCCAGAACGTACATGGGATGATATATCGATGGATTTTCACGATGTGGGGGTACCAGACAAACGAGGGTTTAATAACATTTGGGTAGCTGTTGATAGATTGTCTAAACGCCAAATCTCCATCCCCACCACTAAAAGTGCTACAGCAAAGACTGCTGCAGACTTGTTCTACCGTTATGTCTGGCGATTCCGTGGCGCACCGAAGACCATTACCAGCGACCGCGGTCCGCAATTCATTTCGGATTTCATGGATGAGTTGTCAAGGTTAGCGCGCGTCAAACTCAAGCTATCTACGGCAGAACATCCGCAGACAGACGGCCAGACCGAAATTATTAACCAGATCATTGACCAGCGACTGCGACCATTTGTCAATTTCCACCAAGACGATTGGGCGGAGCTGCTTCCCGCTCTAGATGCTGCTGCGGCAGCTATTCCAAATGAATCTACAGGATTGTCGCCATCAATGATTGACTATGGTTACGAAATGCGTTTAGAATTTGACTGGAATCAGCGACTGGAACCACGAACCACTCGAGAGAAGCTGAATCGGGACGAGGCCGCGGTGTGGCTTAAACGGATTAGCAGCGCGTTGGATTATGCTAAAGAGAGCATCAAACGCTCACAGGAACAACAGCGTGTTCAAGCCAATAAACATCGCCGAGAAGTAGACTTTGACGTTGGAGATAAAGTGTATATCCGGCGCGGTGCTTGGAGAACTACGAGACCGTCGGATAAGCTGGAAAATCCAATGGTGGGACCATATCGGATCATTGCCAAAGAAGGGCATTCATTCCGCGTTCAACTACCCGCCTCTTGGAAAATACACCCTGTATTTTCACCAGACCGACTGCGCAAAGATCCAGATAACCCGTTGCCCGGCCAGGCCAATCCAGAGCCGCCGGCAGAAGAGGTCAATGGAGAGTTAGAATGGGAGATCGAGAAGGTGTTAGACGCGCGGCTGTATCGCAATCGGCTGCAGTACAAGGTTCAATGGGAAGGCTGGGACGCAGACGAGGAATGGTATCCGGCTGCCAACTTTCGGAACGCACCCCTCATATTAGAAAAGTTCCACGCTGAGCACCCTAAATTGCCAGGGCCACCAAGACGTCTCGCTACGTGGTTGGACGATGCCGCACATGATAGATTTAGTGAGGAACATCCGGAAGATAATATGGTGACCAACCAAGGTTGTGACAACCAACGCCGCCGCAGAAATTAGTCGATTTGGGACAATCGAAGGCTGAGGAGGGGGTGATGTCACGGCACGGCATTCCGCTCCGCCATGATATACAATTACGTGGAGGGAGGATGTGAGACTGATGGCTGATGCAGGAAGGAGCACGGACGCGGCGATTTAGTGGAAACCCGCCCGAATAGGAATAGCCTCAGGGCTTTTTGTAATGAGATCCTGTTCTTTTCTATTCTTATCCAGCTTAGTATTTGCTTCACAGATTGAATTATCGCCATACAAGCTGTACTTTCACTTGTGCCTATTCTACGCCGTGACACTGTATAGCTGTCGAGTCATTGGGTGCCTTATAGACATTGAGAAAAGTAATGCCGTTCATTTCAACCCAGCAATAGTCTCCTGTAGACACAACATAAGGAAAGAGTTGTGTTGCCATTATCTTTTTATCGTCTATACGGGTATAGGTCACAGCCCTCGGCCTAACATTTTCGCCGCCGTTAGGCAGATGATAGGTATATCCTGGGTGATCTTTTGTTGTGTTCTTTTGTTTGTTCCACAGAGGTTCTTGAACAAGAACCACGTCGATACCCAGCTCAAATGCTCGGGCAAGCGCAATATTTTGCGTTGATCCCCCTCTACCTACGTTTATTGACATAAAGCTTAGAGTAGGAGAGAGGCTCGAAGAGACCCGTGGGGTGCCCTTCCCAAAGATTTTTACTGATTTGATGCCTCATCGACCTCGGCTACAGTCGCTGTAGCGTCGGACATGAGAACTTTAAAACAGTTGGTCGATTTGAAACCTGGCTGGTCAGTATTTGACGCTTCTACGGCTGCTGTCATCGCTGCCTCTGCGCGTTTGACAGCTGCTTTGGCCCGAGTGACTGCTGCGAATTCGCGCTGGCTAGCCTGCCTTATGGTCTGAAGGTTTTCCCTGGAGGCCATTCCAGACTTTGTTGGACGAGCTAGACAGTCCCAACTATCTGACCTGTGTGGACCTCTGTAGTTGCGGCACTTGGTGTGTGCCTTGCACTCCGCAATGGAATGCATAGTTGAAGTACAATTCCAGCAGGCTGGGGCACGCGAGCAGCCCCTGGTGCCATGAAACTGTAGGCATCGTTTGCACTGGTTGATGCTTTGACGAGGCTGGTGGCGGTCTGCAATCCCAGAGTCGTCGAAAAGTCGGAAACCTGGCCGAGGAATCGATGCTTTTTCAAAAAGGGCCACCCATGACTGGTATGGGGCTCCAAGTCGGCTTTTCCCATGTGGGCGAACTTTTACCGGAGCAGCCTTGGTGACCCTGACTATCTCGTCTGTTACCATCTCTTCAGTGACAATAACTCTACCCATTATTATTACGACCGACCTCAGGTTGACACTAGAAGACTCCCTCGAAATATAAAAGAGTAATTGCTTTGTATTTGGACCTAAAGCTACGCACGATAACTAAAAGAAAAGACAAGGAGAGAAAGAGGTCTGCAGCCTCGCTGGGCTGAAAACTCCGCCAGCTCGCTTCCGGGACCAACGCTTACTCAACCAGACTCCACATCACGTGATACCATAAACCTATCATCTGTAAACTCAAGCCGTAACAATTATTGTATTAATGGCAACTGGGATTGTTGCGATTCTAAGTGAGCCCAGGTCCGATGCTTCTTCCAGTATGGCATCTTTCTGGACGAGGGACGCAGCTAGGCTTAACATGATGGCGCGTGATTCTTGGGTTTCGGTTCTAATTGCGAAGCCAGTTGGAACACAGTATACGTGCTCAATATTGGCTTGAGAAATTTCAAGCACTTTTGCCACAGCCTCTCTAACACCAAACGGTGATAGCTTTCTCCAAGGGTGTTCATTTCCAAGGCGAAGAAACAAGCGTTCATCTTTGGTGCCTGATTGCGTTGGGACGGTCGGGTTTTTTGAAGGTCGCGTCGAGTTTGCCGCCTTTGGCATAGCCTGCGCGACTTTTGTAGCTGCCGGAGGAGTCTTTATAACGGTGCGGGTGATTGAGGCCCAAGTGGTTTTGGCCTGGGACACTTTGTCATGAGTCACTTTACTTTGTGGCTCATCTTGCTTTTTGGCGGCACGTTCTATGATCTTGCTGCCAGTAGCCTGGGTTTCAGGGCACGAGGGAAGTACTGGGAGGACTGTACCCGGTCCCGATATCATGAATTGAGCTATTGCAGCACTGATGTAGACCTTCATGGAGTCTATAAATTGAACACTCGTCCCTTTGGATAGGGGGGAGAGACCATTCTCGACACCGTTTATTGCAGCAGTGCAGATCTTTACATTTTCTGCTGTTTTAGAAGTCCGGCGTTCTTCGGCTTCGATTAAGGCCCTAAGTTCGGAGGGATATTCTTCTGTCAGCTTGGGGTTGTTTTCGCTGCGAGAAGCGGTACTCTCCTCTGTAATACCTGGTGTACCCTCAGAGGGACTTTTGGGATATGCGGCGCCTTTTTTCTTACTTGTTTGCGCGATCGCTACCCGCCTAATAGCAGGGACAGCAATTTTTCTAGTTGTGCTGGCGGGGATGACTGTGACTTGGCAGTCTTCCGAGTCTTCTACGTTCCATCTAGAGCTACTGAGGCCCTCTTGGATATAAATGTCGATTGTTCTATCGGACATTTCGATGTCTGGATTACTAGAGCTGGTGTTTTCTTCGAAGGCATTGATCCTCTCGATAAGCTCTATATCCATTTTTCCATAGTCGATGTTTTTTACTGTCGAATTCTTGTCGATCATACGTTTGATCACTTTCTTGTGCGCTCTTCCGAGGGCGTCAATAACACGATCCTCACGCGATTTTTTGGGTTGCCCCAGTGCCATTCCGAAGATCGAGGGCTTGTAACTGAGATCACAATTTTCTGATGAATGCGACGAGCGCGAAAGGGAGGGGGAGGGGGAAAATAGGAATATTCGAAGATTCGAATTTCAAAAAAAAATTGTGGGTGTGTGTGTGTTTTTATTGTACTACTTGAGTCTATGACTATCTAGCACATTGGGCTCCTCTCTGACCCAGGCTACACCTTGTACAGTGCTCCTTGCCTCTTTTGTTACTTGAAAGATCATTGATATATTCCTTTATTACTAGGTTTTTAGTTACTTTTTGGTTAAAATTCGACATCTCGCGCACTTACCAATCATTTTATTTCTGAGTCTCTTCCTTTTAAAATCGTATTAGCAAATATAAATTCCAATTAAATATTACAGTATTCTGGACTATGGCAAAACTCACATTTCATCTTAGCAATTTCCAAGTCGAGATCTAGAAGTATGGGATTGTACAGTGTTTCCGGATGATGATCTTTACCCAGCCAGAACCCAAAACCTCTGTCGAACAGCGATGCCCGCATTCTCTTGGCTACATCTTTCAAACACTCGAATTTGGCCGAGAATCCGCTCAATACGTTGTATTCAAATGAATCTACATGTATAGCAGTAAATTTGGCGTTGTACATAGATTGAACTGTACCCTTGTACCACGTCCCAAGAAGTCCTAGGTGAGTGGCCTTTTTATCGCCCCAGCCGAAGCGGATGCACGTTGACACAAGTCCATAGAAAAATGATTCTAGATCATGGCGATACGAGTGCTTGATGCCTGCACTTATTCGTGTCAAATTCGCCCTGAAGATGCCGAGTGCCATGAACTCCATCGTCCAAGTTAGGATATGAGAGCTGGCCGCAGCATTGGGGTTATCCAACGACATTGCCAGATCCAAGTCTATCAGCGATCCATAGCAACTATTGAGGATCTTGAATTCCAAGTCCGAGCGAAACGCCAAGTCTCACGGCAAGCGAGCCGCCGAGTTTGAGGTTCCATCAATAATGCACCCCTCGCATTCTTTGGTCACAATCCAGGCGGCTAAGCACCTCACTCCTCTCCCACTGTATTCTGATAGTTTACTTGTCATGTATCATCGATTGTTACATTATCTGGAGTATAGGGGATTTCATGTATTTAAGGAGGAGTTAGAACGTTAATAGAAATACAAGTTTACACCTAGTCTCAAGCTCTACACACATATAGATTGTCGTAGTCGGAGCCACGAGACATCCGTGAATTTCACAGTCAACATTTGTCATTTTATTCTTACTAACGTGCACAAGAAACCTCACTTTTATTCATCTTCGGATCTGTCAGTATGATGTTGTTCACCGAGACGTCACTGTGCAATATCCGGGCATCCAAAAACAGTGATCGGTGGCCTTTGATTGCATAGCGTAGTCCACAAAGCAAGTCCAACGGTGATGTATCCTCTCCAATTGCTCGAACAGAAGGCTTCGATGCGATTATTGATTGCAACCGATCTCGGTAGAACAATGAAGAGTTGGTTGTGGACATGTTGGAGATCTTGGGAGAAGCATTCACATCGACAACTACCACATCTGAGACGTCTGGAGCGGTGGGATCTGTGGCATCCGACGTTCCTGAAGGGCCGACACTGGCTTCTTGCAAGGTTCCCCCAGTATTACTCGTTATGCGGAGTTTTTTGAGTTCACGTTCCGGTACGTTCGGGGCGTTAACATCCATCTCGTCGTCATTTCTGCCTCTTTTCGATCCAGACTTTGTCGATCCTTGGTTCAAGCTTTGATAACTCGTCGGAGTCGAATTTTTCGATGCAGTAAGCTTACTGGGAGCTAGAATATGACGCCTGGCATTAATATACTGTCTTGAATCACAAAATAAAAACAATAAACACAGACTTACCTCGCTTGCTGGCCGAGGCTCCACCTTTTCGCACACTTGCTACTGCTGCATTGGTCCGGGCTTGCCTTGAAATACTCGACACGCATGACCTTTTGCTCTGTTGTGAATCACCCGCACTCGACGCACTTTTGCGCTTGACACCTCCACTCGACTGAATAATCCCTTCCTGATTTGGAATTCTCTGGTTGCAGTAAGTCGTGGGGCGTGGTCATTGGTTCCTCATCGGGCTGGATCTCTCTTTGCATTGCCTTCGTGAACATAAGGCCGTCACGTAGCTCGCTGATCTTTTCCATGTCAAGTGATCCAATCAACGTTACCACTCCACAAATACTGCGACTTTTCCCGAGAAGTTCGACCTCTGACATCCGTCCCATCGCCCGCCACGAGATCTTCACCACAAAGCTTTCGTACAGACCGCGGTAGACTGTCGTGCCACGCGAGACGATCGACTGCTGAACAATAAATGGGAAAGTTTCGAGGGTCAGCATCAACCAGTTATCGGTTTCTGGCTCCTTGACCTTGATCAGCGTCCGGTCGTGCTCCTGGACAAAGTTTGAGACAAGACCAAGCTCATCGTCGCTCATCAGCATATATGCAGTGATCACATAGATTAGCTTCTCCGGATTCTCGCCGATGTCGATGAAGCCGGTAGACATGGGTCCCGATCGATCGAAAACCCACAGCTGCAACTTCGTTTCGAACAAAATGAATCCATGAACAAACCGACGCAAGGGCTGCGTCACGAAAACTTCTCTCATGTAAACTGATAGTTGGAGGAACTTGCTATTCCAAACTCTGACAGAAGACGAAGTCAACTCTCCCAGAACTAGAACATCGCGCCAGTCGTGAGGAGTACTGGCTGCATATTTTCGGCTCTTGAAGAAAAAGTCGACCTGTCTAGTAGACTCGCTTCCCTCGAATTGCCATGCCGACATGGTTCGGAACTTGTTTGAGTGTATTGAAAGGCTATGCTGAGCTGGAATGACGTACCGTTAGGATGAAGGTATGGAAGGAGGTAGCTATGGCTTTAAGAGAAGTAAAGTTCGTGAGTTATACTCTTAGGACTTGGATCAATGGACAAACTTGAGGATATTCCCTGTTATTCTCAAGTGTGTGAATAATATGGAGATTGTTTGAATTTCCTATTGTATGAATTGCTTAATTTATCTATGTGACAGGACCTTCTTCTATATACATGAATAAGGGGGTTCTGCACACTAGTGGATGTTCCAACATCTGTCCTTGTCTAACCGAGAAAGGAAGGATGTGAGAGATCCTAGCGCCAATAGATACCATTAGGAATCTATTGGGAAATACTATGTCATACCAATGAGTGATGATTTAGGTCAATCATATCTCATGGCGCATGTGCACATTATTCTAATGTGAACAGTTTATTGTAATGCAGTCATGTTACTCCCTTAATTACAACACTTCCCCTCAGGACTGCATCTCACAATAGCCGCGAGACGTTGATGAGTCGGCTTAGCTAATTGCTTTGTTAGGATATCGGCTAAGTTGTTCTCAGATGGAACATATTCCAGCTTGAATGTATTGTCGATATGATTACGAAGGAAATGATATCTGATGTCAATATGTTTCGAGCGTTGGGATATTTTATGATTCTTAGCCAGATCAATTGATCCAGTAGAGTCCGCATGCATTAGCATTTCGTAGCTTTGTTCGAGTTCGGTTAGGGCGTTTTGCATCCAGATCATATGACGAGCTGCATCAGACAGAGCCATATATTCAGCTTCCGTTGTTGAAAGAGCAACCGTTTTCTGTTTTCTGGAGCTCCAACTGACACTTGCTTCCCCTAAGCGAAAGACGTATCCTGAACATGATTTTCGATCATCGATGAAATTTCCATATGAAGAATCAGAGAATCCGTGAAGGACAGAGTCGTTTGCGCGTGGGAAATGAAGGGTCCAGTCAGATGTTCCCTTTAGGTACCGAAGGACTCGTTTTGCTGCTGCGAGATGCTTATGATTGGGACATGAGGAGAATTGAGAGAGGAGAGTGACTGCATGAGCAAGGTCAGGTCGTGTACCTATGCAAGCATACATTAAGGATCCAATGATTGATTGATACATGGTTGGATCGTCAATTTGATCTTCCAGTTGTCCTTTTTGAATTTGGGCTCCAGGTTCAAGAGGTGTGCCAACTGGGTGACAATTCAGCATTCCGAATCGATCTAGGATTTTTGTGATGTATGCTTTTTGGTTTAACGATATGCCTAGCTTTGTGATGTCGACCTGAATTCCGAGAATGTAGTGAGCCGTACCGAGATCTGTACATTCAAATGCTGAATGTAATGATTCTTCTAATTCAGATACTGTCTTGGGATTCGGGCCGAGTATCAGAATGTCATCGACGTAAATTGCGAGAAAGACTTGTTTTTCGGAATTTATGAAGACGCATGGGTCAAAATTTGTTGAAACGAATCCGTCTTTGTTTAGTACTGCAGTTAGTGTTTCATACCAGACAAGAGGGGATTGTTTTAACCCGTAGATACATTTCCGCAAGAGATAACATTTTCCAGATTCCTTGTACCCATCAGGAATTTCCATGTATATTTCTCGATCCAATTTTCCATATAAAAACGCTGATTTTACGTCCAGTTGTCTTGGTATCCATCCTTTATGGGCTGCTAAGGCGAGCAAAAGGCGTAACGAATCGTAGCGTGCGACCGGCGCATAAGTGTCATCAAAATCTGTGCCGGGCTGCTGAGAGAATCCCTTGGCAACAAGTCGAGCCTTATACCGTTCTACTGATCCATTGGCTTTATGCTTTACTTTAAATACCCATTTACATCCTACGACATTACGATCCTTAGGGCGAGGTACGATTTCCCAGGTATTGTTTCTGTTGAGGGCATTCATCTCTTCTTCAATTGCTTCCCCCCACAATTCATGTTCGTCCGAATTCATTGCCTGTTGAAACGTCGATGGTTCTAATTTAACCGCGTTAGCTTGATATCTTTGATCGCTTGACACCATTCCTGGACCAGGGTTAGTTTGTCGTTTTTCTCGTGTACTTCTCCTAGGAAGTTGATCATGGGAACTATCTTGCTCAAAGGGTTGCGTAGCTTCCAGATTAATTGGAGGTAGAGGAGGCAATCCTTGGAGAATAAAGTTTTCATGAGGCTTTTTAGGAGCACCAGGTGAAATACGACTACTATCTTGTAGTGATGGTGTAACGGGTGAAATTTTTCGAGACATTCGAGGTGTTTCAATAAAAGTTCCAGGCAATTGTGATGATACAGGTGATATTGGACGAGTATGGATTGCATTGGAGGTAGGCAGAGTATTTTGATCTGCTGATGAAGAGTTTGGATGCGTTGCGTTTTCGGAGAGGGATGATAAGACGTCGATAGTTTCTTCCCCTGACTTCGGAGGTGGGAAAAGGACTTGTCGAGTTACTTGGACTATATTTTTCGTTGGTATATATATGCGGAATGTTTTGGATGATCCGGTGTAGCCTACGAATATACCTTTAATCGCTCTTGGTTGTAGTTTGGACCCGCTAGGTCTGGTCTCGCTTGGGATATGAACGTAGACCTCTAAACCGAAGGCGTGAAGGTGTGATACCATGGGTGAGGGTACTCCGTCTAGAAGTTCGATCGGAGACTGGTATTCGTTCGTCCGATGAGGGGTTCTGTTGTATAGGTAGACGGAGGTGGCAATAGATTCTGCCCAGAGATGTTTTGGAAAGTCAAGAAGCAGAGTTCGAGCTTTGGTAACGATCGTTCGATTGAATCTTTCGGCAACACCATTTGATTCGTGTTCGTATGGTGGCGAAGTTTCATGATTGATACCATTTTCAGCAAGAAATTGTTTAGTTCGGCCATCAATGTATTCTCCTCCATTATCTGAAAAAAATATCTTGATGGTTTTCTCGTACTGGTTTTTAATCAACATTACATAATCGCGAATGGCTTGATATGTGTCGCTTTTATTCTGAAGGAAGTAAATCCAGGCATATCGAGAGAATTCGTCAATAAATGTGATGTAATATAGTTTTCCGCCCAGTGATTTGACAGAGAACTTTCCAGAGAGATCCGAATGAACGACTTTAAACGGTTGTTGAGCTCGCTTTTGTCTTGAGTTTTCTGAATGGTGAGTAGATTTGGAGAGAATGCATGATGGGCAGTGGAATCCTTCAGGTTTATTTGGAATTAAGTCAGGATACTTCTTCTTCAAATTCAACATGGCATTTTGACCAGGATGGCCAAAGCATTTATGGGCTTCCATGTAAGAGGCAAAAGAAGATTTATATTTTTGTTCTTGAATTACAAATTGTTTTGAAGAATCAAAAGCCGCAAATATCCATTCTTTCCCATCTTTAATCACCTGTCGTCGACCATTTTGCGATATGATCATATTTCCCTCCATTTCCAATTTACTTTCAGAAATTAAGTTACCACCTTTGAGATCAGGGACGTACAAAACATTGTGAATAGTTGCCGAAATATTTCTGCCGGTACTTGTTTGCAAGTTTAAGTGTAAAGTTCCTGACCCCTTGACGGGAACCTCCATGCCATTTGCGAGAGTGACTAAGCCTTTATGAGGAACTATAGAGGCGAGTAGTTCTTCTCGAGATGTCATGTGAGCAGAGCATCCTGAGTCAAGAATCCAATGTAGAGGTGAGAAGGATGTTGAAGCAATGAAGGCCTTATCTTTTTCGATGTCACTGTAAGACTTATCATATGAAGGAACAGCTGAATTCCTGACGGCGACATGTGCCTTGTCTTTTCCATTGTAACCTTTTCCTTTACCCTTTGCTTTGGATGTTTGTTCAAGATGGGTCTGTAGTTTCCGACAATTGGTGTGTAAATGTCCCAGATATGTACCACCATGCTTTTTACACCATGTGCATTCTTTCACTTTTTCTTTTCCTTTTCCATAAACCTTTGGCGAATATTGAGATTCGACAAGATACGCTTTAGACGTCGATGTAGGTATAGTTGATCTGTTCAATTGATAATCTAGGAGATGTTTATTAATCCCGCTAAATGATAAATTTTCTTTACTTGACAAATTATCGACAATGTTGTACATCGAGGGAGGAAGAGAGCGAAAGAGACACATGACCTTAACTTCTTCAACTGAGAGAAAGTTCATTAAGGCGATGGCTTCTGGACGTGACGATTCTGAACAGCGGGAATGGATGTGGGAGAATGTTGTTTCGAATCGCGAAATGTGGTCGGAAATATCATCTCCTTCTTCCATCTTTAACTCAAAAAAATTGTTGAAGAGCTGAAGAGTGGAAGTTGTCGTCTCATGGTCGAATTTATCTTTCAATAAATGCATGGCGACACGGGCAGATTCTGGTTTCAAAACGCAGGCGCTGACTATATCCTGGAGATCTTCGGAGACTCCAGCGAGAAGTGCAGCGTGGGCTGCGTCGTTTCGTTCATCGTACTTTTCTAGCCGCTTGGTGAAATCCTCAATGCTTTCACCCTTCATATGAACGGGACGGGTTTCCTTATCAACGCCATCATTTACCACAGACCAGTATCGGGCACCACGCAAAATTACAATGTAAGAGTTGTACCAGCGACGAAAGTTGGAACGACCGGTGAGAATTGGTACAGTTGCATTTATGGTGCCGACGTGAACAGAGGTAGAGGTATGCATCTTTAATGATGTAAGCGTTGAGCGTATTTGAAGTGAGTCGCAGGAGCTGCGTCGAACCCGGGCTCATAACCTATTGAAAGGCTATGCTGAGCTGGAATGACGTACCGTTAGGATGAAGGTATGGAAGGAGGTAGCTATGGCTTTAAGAGAAGTAAAGTTCGTGAGTTATACTCTTAGGACTTGGATCAATGGACGAACTTGAGGATATTCCCTAGTATTCTCAAGTGTGTTAATAATATGGAGATTGTTTGAATTTCCTATTGTATGAGTTGCTTAAGTTATCTACGTGACAGGAC